GTATAAATTAGGTACTTAATAGATGGTCACTGTTACTATTATTATTATTAAGATTATTATTAATCATTAAAATCATTGCTTACCCATTTTAATTGGGAAAAAATACATAATCTTGCAAATCCAGGGAACTTGTTTGATTTGTTGATGTTATGCAGTTACTCAGTGGTCCAACTAGAATTAGAGTCTTGTTTTCCTAATTCCTACTTCCTTTAGTCACAACATGGAAGATTCGGAGAGGATCTTTGAGGTTATCTATGGCTGACAAATACGGCAGCAAGCAGAGCTATTTTTTCCTAACCTAGTCCCTGGCCCAATAAATAGTGCATGATAGACCAACGGATAGAAAGACAAATAAATTTTAGGCCAGGTGACAGCCTGCCCTCTAAGATTTTACCTCTTCCATCACGTAGCTTCTGACAACTCCTATCTTTTAGTGTGTATTTAATTATCATTTATTCTCAGAAGGAAAGATCCAGAGATTTAGCCAGAATCCAAAGGAAAGAGATACAATAGAAGTGTGGTTAAAATGCAGTACTTTCAGGATGTTAATGTGAACTCGTTGGATTGATTTTGCTGTACTTTTGAAACCTTTTAGAACCTCAGAGAAATCTTTCTGCTGAATTTACATGGGCCCTAGCCAAGTGCAGGGGTTATTGATTTCATCTAGTTCAATTCATTTATATTATAAGAGGGAAAATTGAAAACCGTCAAGGGGGTTGCCCATTGGGGGAATGGTGGTCCTGAACCTAGAGATATTGTCCAAAAGGAAGTTGAGAAGTGAAGGTGTTAGGTGACTGATTAAGGATGATAAAGAAGAAACTTGTTGACAGGTACAATTAAGATATTGTCAAGTGAGCATATACGTTCCGTGCCTAAGTTAGATAATAAACACTATTGTATGAAGATAATCAAAGATCTTTTATTGTTTTTGGAAAATTATTTTATAGTCTGTATTTTAAAGAAGAAAGTGCTATATCCCATAAAGATATCCTATAAAGAATCAAGAATACCTCATAATTTGAATATAATACTGTATTAGGGCTCTCCAGAAAGCTAGAACGAATAAGATATGTGTGTGAGAGAGTGAGTGAGTGTGTGTGTGTGTGTGTGTGCGTGCGTGCATGCATAGACAGATAGATTTATTATAAGGAGGTGGCTTTCATAACTTTGGAGGCTGAGTATCCCAGGTTCTCTAGTTGGCAAACCAGAGACCCAGGAAAGGCAAAGTGTAGTTCAAGTTTGAGTTCAAAAGCCTGAGAACGAGGAGATGTTTTGGTTTAAGTTAAAAGTCTGGAAAAGACCCGTGTCCCAGGTCAAGGCAGTCGGGTAGAAGACGTTCCCTCTTATTCAGCCTTTTTGTTCCATTCACTGATTCAACTATTGATGGAAGCCCACTCACATTAGCAAGAGCTGGGGGCAGGGGGCAGTCTGCTTTCTCAGCTTAGGGATTCCAGTGTTCATATCATCCAGAAATACCCTCACAGTCACACTCAGAATAATGTTTGACCAAATGTCTGGGTACCCCATGGCCTAGTTAAGTTGATGCATAAAATGAACCGTCACAAGTACACAAGGGCGTAAAGATAGAACTGAAATTATTGGAGCTTAGATGTAGGAAAATATGGCAGAAAAAACAAGAGATTTAATGAGAATGAAGGGATAGGGAAAATCCATGAGTCCGTTAGCCTTTAAAGACAACATTTAAGTCAGGTAACAGTGAATTGTCATAAATCCTGGAACAAGATTTGTGAACATCATATTTAAGGAAGATCAAATCTAGGATGCATCACCATTTGGAGACACTGAAATTGAAATTTGGAAACCAGTGAGTGAAAAGTTCCAAAGGCCTGGATTCAGATGAATACTGTGGAGGTGGAGAGCAAATCCAGGGCCCTGCACAGATTAAAACAAACAACAAAATCAGCAGAAGTTGGTGAAAATAAAATAGAGTGAGAGAAAAAAAACCGTTCGAATGTTAGTGTCATTGATAGCAATGAGAGATTGAGAAGAGATTTATTTGTAGGATTAAAGACGAGGCATTTAGGATGACGTGTAAAGTTTAAATTGTGCCTTTTATGCTCAACCTGCAGATAAAGTATCATAAGATAATTAAAATGCGAATACGATGAGTGTTAATATGCTAGGGGAAGTTTTTTTTTCAAGCAGTTGCTACAAGTATAACATTGTTTTTACTTTGAAGAATAGAAATAATATCAGAAAAAATGCTGTAGGTGACTTGCTGTTGTAGAACCAGGTCTTTTAGCAAAATATTTTACTAAGTTGCAGATAAACCTCTGTAAGGGTACTGTCACCATACTTTTGTCCATATAGTTAAGAAATTAATTTTGTATTCTCATTCAACTAGTAATTGGTCTTAAAGTATTCCTCTGCTCTGTCAATTCTTGCATATTTTATAACGCAATTAAATGTATACTGCTTTCATTGTAATGAAAAAATTATAAAATGTACTATCATTTCATGTCATTTTAATCACTGCCAGAAATATTCAACTTGCTACAGTGAGTAATAAAGTACACTTCCATTCATTTTCAGGGATTATGAAATTGAGGAATTTTTTATAATATGAAATAAACTTTTTTTTTAAATACTGAAGGTATTAGGAATATTTTGTGATTTCAGTTTCCTGGTTCCAGCATTGTTTCCACATTAAATGCACCAGCCTCTTGTGGACTGGACCGCCACGCTGCGAGCCTGCTTTTTAAAGCTTGTGTTTGTTAAGCAGAAATTTCTTTACTCTCTCTGGTAATTGTAGACAGAAATTCTAGAAGCCCCCATGGGTGGTACACACTTTATTGTGATGACTATAATTAGCTGATAAACTTGCTCTCCTCACTCGGTAGAGAAGAGGAGGTGAGGGTGGGGGAGAGGTGATTTTGGAGCAGGGGACACATCGGGGCTTGGGAAGCTTGGTGCAGTGACACAGTGACAGCTTTCAGTCCTGAGGACTCACTTCCTGGGAGTCCAAGGCATAGCACGGTGGAGAGTGCAAGCAGTGGGCCTGCTAGTGAGGGTGCTGGGGTAGGTGAGGGATTCCAGTAAACTAGATTGATGGAAACTAAAGGTAAAGTTTTCCTGCCAATCATGACAACATAACACGACATAAATTCCGGATCCCTACGGTAGTTGTATACTGGATTGGAAAAGTTTATTTTACAGTGGCTAACCCTCTGCCTTTATTTTCCATTTTCTTTTTCCTCTTCTTTTTTTTTTTCTTTTTATTCTTCTGTTGTTGTTCTAGTGGATGTGTTTATAAACTGATGTTTTGGAAAGTGTTATAAATACAGATTATTTACATGTAGTGGGGATAAGCAGTTGATTAATTGGGAAAGCTGTTTAGGGATATATATGTATCCTGATTCTCTCTTAGCATGAGTAAAATTATTTATATCTGTATAGTATCTTACAGTTTTCAAATCACCACCATCCTTCATTTAAGAAAATACGCAGTTCCTTGACAGTGCTGCCTCCTGGTCCTGTGTGTGTCCAGACAAGTGGACACTGAGCCCCTGTTCCTCTCCACACTGATTCTATGTATTTTATACTGTGATAGAAATGTTTTTATTTGAAAAAACACATGTACACACATTTCCTTGACATTCTTCCAGTTTTTAGAAAAATACATTCACATTTTTCCTGCTGAAAACTTAGTTTCTTTTGGGGTAGATATATCATCTTTTTAAAAACCTTTCCCCCAAGATTTCTTTTTAAATGGTTCACAGTTAAATTTAAATTTCTATATTTAGGTAGAATTATGTTTACATACCAACCACCAGTATCCAGGAAATTCAGTGGTAAGGCTGACACATAGGGAGTTTATAGTCTATTTTGTAGTCTGTGTATTTAGACAAGGTTTGAAGCTTACTTAGCAAAATCGCTTGAACATTCAGAATTTCTTCAGTACAAATGCACTATTTGATTTCTTATAATTGTTAAGATAACAGTGTGTCACTTTTTAAAGATTAGTTCTTAGAAATACGCGTTAGATTTATTCCTTTCAAAGAAAGATGCATTCAGAAACAGCTTTTATATGTAAATATTTTTATAATATTGGATAGAGTTGGTTTGGTGCAATCACCATGGTTTGATCAAATTTGGAAGAAGTTACAGGCACATTTTTGTAGTGTTTTCTCCAGCATCTTTATTTTTTTCAGCTGGATGTATTTTATGTTCCTTCCAGCTAATCAAAATAAGAAACTGATTTTGCCTGTGCCAAAAAATAGAACTATCATTTTTCACATTCTTTTATTTTCCAGGTCATTTTCAAGTAAGATTGTGTTTCTAGGACTTCTGAATTCCAGAAAACTCTCGACTTTGTAGATACAAGGGCCCAGATGAACATTTCAGGGGGAATCTAACTTTTCATGCAGTATGTTTTGTGTTGTGCATTCCAGATACAGTTAACTTTTTGTGTGTGTGTGATTAGTGTGGAAAGAAATTAATGCAGTCCAGTATTATGATTTATGGACTGAATCCTTTGCCCACTGAAGACTTGCCAAAACTAAAACTATTTTTTTTCCTTTGGATATTAGAAACAGCTACTGTTTTTGTTGATCTTTTAAAGTTCTGAATGGGCCTATTTCAAATCATACCAGCATGGGAGCTCACATTAATAATATACTTATTCAACTAGTGATACTGAGTGAAACCATTGCTCACATGGATATGAGGATAAAATTTCATAAAATTATTTTCAGGTGCATTAATGCATTTCTGGAAGCTGCGCATGATTTTTCTTTTGCATGAAAGTAATCAAGGATCACTGTTTATTGTATCAGTTACAGGTGGGCTTGTAAGTTAATTTAATTGCATTTTTTTCTTTTATATCTTTAAACATAAGACATTTTCCTTTTAAAAGCAGTAACGTGATTGCTGGATGGTTCCCAAAGGTTTTTAACTCTTAGTGTATTTCTCTCTTTTGAGATACCATAACTGTAGTGTATTTAATTTAGATTATTGGGAAAATTTTCCTTTGTTGTTAGTTACAGCAAGCTGCTGAAGTTTCTCAGCTTCGGGGAGCGAGGGTCATCTCTGCTGAAGATCTTCTGTTTCTGATGCGCAAAGATAAGGTAATAGAAAACAATTTCATTGTATTAAAATGTGATGCTTGGTGCTTAATTACACCTAGATAAGGAAACCGTGTGTCCTTTTATATAGCTTTCACATCGGGATCGTAACACTTGAGCTGATGTTTTAGTCTTTGTCGTTTACACAACAAAATGGTTTACTGCAGAAGAATTGATTTTTTATTTTTACCATGGACAAGGGCACTTATGGAAAACTATGCTGACAACTAATTGTCACGTATTTTTACATATCTATGTAGACTTTTTCACTGCTATGTAATATTCACTAAATGTTGGATTGGGTGCTTTGTTCTGGTAACTGGAGTATAACTAAGTGGCATATTTATTTTTCTTCTTATTTTACATAGGATTATAGACTTTCATAGAGTAAGTTTTTAACTTCAAATACAAAGTTTAGTCTCTGACACTGGTTTAAAAAAAGCAAATCAATCAAGATGAATATTCCAATAGCATAAATATGCTCCATAATGTCTAGGTTTTTTTCATAAAGATCCACCTTTCTTACTCTTGGAACTCTGGTATTGAAATATTTAAGCTGATATTGACATGTCTAATTTTGTTATAACTCTCTTTCATGCGTAGCTGGTTGAAAATATTTTATGACATTTTACATGTTTTTAATAAAATTTTCATCTGAAAGTTACATGTGGAAAACCTGAGTGAATAACCACAGTATGTTATGGTGGGTATGCCCTCAGTGACCAAGCTGGGG